TGTATATATGTATATGCTGTATATTTCTAGAGTTCGTAACAAAAATAATTTCCCTCTGGGATAATTCAAGTATTTCTAACTCTGACACGTGCTCCTTTAAAGGTTTTTCTCTTCTTCTTCTTCTTCCTATTTTTTTTTTGTTGCTCTTTCCAGGTCTGTTTTAAGGGCGGTTACAACGACGATGAGATCGAAGAGCCCTCCTGCCTTTAAACCCCTCCCCCCCCCTACCTCCCCCCCCAGGCGCCCCCCCGCAGAGCTTCACCACAAACTCCAACCGAGCGCAAATCTTAAGAACTCAGTGAATGTTGACCTGTATTTATGAGCTGTATTAAAAGTGTATTATAATTAAAGAAAAAAGTATGAGTTTAAAGATTTTGTACATTTGTACTTGAATTTATGTCTAGATGTATATTTTCACTAAAGGTTGTATTGTACAAAAAGCCATAAAAGTACCACTTGAATGCATAGATGACATTTTAGTTTGCTTTTTATCTTTTCTTTGGAGCGAGTACGGTTGATGTGAATTGGGGAGTTTTTTTCTTTGATGAAAGCAGTACCAGTCGTCTTTTTGTTTCTATCGTTCCAGTGTAGCCTGAGGCCTTTGTGTTTTCACATGCGCTGTGTGTTAGTTACCCATTCACCTGGAGGCTCGACCTGGTCCCAAACTAACTTGGAATGAGGTGTGTATCCCAACCATTTGGAGGAAACAAACTCAGTCTGTCCTGTCTGTTGAGGCTCCGCTTGAGCTTTTCCCATCTTCTGTTTTTATTTATTTTTGAGCAGATTCTAGGTTTGGGCTTCTGTTTCTGATCGTTTTTTCCGGCAGAATGGAAGCGTTGCTTAAACCCAAAGCAATCGCCGTGTGTGTGCTTTTTTCCCTTCTGTTTTACAAACTATTCCAGCTGAAACTCAAACTTTTGTTGTTTCTTTTGTGAGATTTCTGACCTGAGAAAGGCTCTGAACTGAAAGTTAAGCAGCTACAGGATTCAAGCTGTTAAGAGAAATGCCTGTTACGGTTTTTGTTTTTTGCTTTAATTGTTCTACTTTTTATATTCTGTTCTGTTGGGACAAAACGTAGGCCATTGAGATTTCTTATTTCGAGCTTCCTTTTCTTTTTTTCTTCTTTTTCTTTTTTTACAAGACAGCCTCTGGCTCTGTGCCTAGAGAGAAACTAGCTTAATCTGTGTTGAAACAAATGCTCTTAACTCAAAGTAAACTCCCACTGATTCAGCTCAGAGCAGCTGTTAGCCCCTGTGTGAGTCCAGATTCAGCTTCTGTCCCCGTTTGATCAGATTTTTTCAGCTCTGAGTGAGTCCAAAAGCATTCGGCCACTTGCACAAACACAATTATACGGCTTTTTGTTGTTTTTTTTGTAGTTTCTCTGCAGGATGACAAGTTGCTAACCAGTTAGGTTTGTGTACTTTTTCCATTGTGCGATCAGGATCCCTCATTTTGAGTTCCTGCTTTGAATCTTGAGGCAGTTGCGGTTTACTCCCCACCTGTTTTTGAAGCTGTGAATAATCCATCATGAGACATTAGTTGTGTGAGAGTGTGTGTGTGTGTGTTTCACTGTAAGCCGATGCAGCTTTGTTCATTCAAGTGCATTAGAGAGAATTAGCAATGTATTACTTTTTTTTTTTTTTCCCCCTGCAGAAAAGCAATGTTTGCATCTTGTCAGTGGAATAGCTCAGAATGATTTTAGGCCTTGAATTGGACCCGCATTACTTTCCATTTGACACGGTACGCTTCCAGGCCCCAGTCTAACGAAAACGGTGTGGAGCGATAGCTTGTTTCTGAACGTTTGTCTCATGTTGCACATTCCATCACCAGAATCCGATGTGTGCATCCAGCTGCTGCTGGCTTCTAGTCACTTAGGTGTCTGTCTTTGTTTAAGAAAAAAAAAAAAACACATTGAAAAAAGGAAAAAACTTTTATTTTTTTTGTCTTTAGCTCCCAGGCACATTTGATGCTAATATCACTTACCTATGTAGATTTGATCCTGTTAGCTCTTTAGCCTCAAAGACCTTGTAAATGATGTATTTCTAACATGTAACTAAGCTCTAATGCATATTCACTCATTCTCACAGGGGAATATACTGTCTACCACCCATGCCTCCGTAATCGTTTAGAGGATCTCTTATGCCACCCAAATAGCAGTGACTGATCATATATGGTTTCAGTGCATTATGGTGTTTTAATAATTATGGGAAGTGTCTTTAATTGTTTTTCTTTTTTTTCTGCCAATACCAAAAGCAACATTCAGTAAATGAAACCTTTGCTCTTTGAAGAGTTAGCTGAAGAACGACTGAAAGCCTTTATTATATGTGCCAATAACCCAGTTTTTTTCTGACATCCAGCCTTTTTTTTTTCTTCTTTCAAACCTGTTCAAACTTTCCGTCCCGAGAGAAATTCCTTCGTATAAATGAACTTCAAACGGCTCAACTAATTTGAATGTCCGCACTAAGTGCATTGTAATGCCTGTTTTTAAATGCATATGTTTTATTACTCGAGCATGTATCGGTTTGTACTACTTCAGGTTCCTTGTGTATGTAAATGAAGAGCTAGTGCCGACGTGTCTCACTGGTATCTGAGGAAGTCTTTCTGAATGGCCTGGTTTGGACAAAAAAAAGCTTCCCCTTTTCTCCCTTCTGTCCTCAAAGGAGCTGATGGTGAGTCGATCCATCTCTCCGAATTGGGATTTTACTCACCAGCAAGATCTGTAAGTGAGAGATTCCTGGTGGTCACGTTCAGAGTGGTGGAGGGTTAAGTGCCAGTGTACGTTTAGCTTCTGTTAAAAGAGGATGGGATTTGGTGACACTTTCAAGAAAGGGAGGCATGACGGACAGATGATTGGAATTAAAATGGCCTGGAACTTCATAGTTTTTCTTTGATTTGAATCTGTACAGTCATGTTGTTCAACCACTGCAGTCATTGTTAATTCTTGTACAAGTTGTATCACTGGTTGTTGTATCATATCAGACATTTGTAATTATGAAATAATACACTGCCATTTGTATAAAAAAAAACTTGTGTCTTTGAATTATTTCTATTTTGTTTTGGACCAATGGAAAGAAGTGAAAGGACTTAAAGTAGGTCTTGCTTTAAAATGCCATTTGATTTAGCTTCAAGCCGAACTTGATTATAACGAAATATGAATTCGTCATTAAAATAAAGGAATACTTACGGTTGAGGGGTTGATTTTCCAACATTGTTTATTATATAATACTCTGTAAACACACACTTATGAACGTCAAATCACTAATAGGCTTTTTAACATGTCGGCTGAAGGTGAAGCATGAAAAATTATTATTTTCCTACTTAATTATGTTTTTAGCATCCAAGTTCTTGGATGCAGGACAGATGCAGCCACAGCACGGACCATATTGCAGTGTAGAATTTAGCGGTCCCGTGACAACACCAAAAAAACAACAAAAGAAAAAACGTAATTACTCATTGGTTCGTTGCAACGTCAGTCAATGTCAACTCTCACTCTGATTGGCCACAGGCATTAAACCCCTCCCCTCCACAGTTAAGCTGTCACATACGCTACTTCCTGGTGTGATTGGTCGGAGAAACGCAACGCTGCATCAAAGATGGCATTTGTCCACACAACATTTGAGTCAATTTGTAATAAGTCTGAGAAAGAATAGGCGTCATCTTGCAAAAAGAGACGGGTGAGAGCGGGTGGTAGCCGTTGCGAGCAGTGTTAGCACTCTCGTCACGCTACGCACCGCCTGCTCTGTGCGCTAGCTAGTTAGCGTACATAGTAAATATTAGCTAGTTTAGCTAACTCGCTTATTGTAGATTGGTAAAATGGCCACCATGGAGAAACTGATGAAGGCCTTTGAGTCTTTGAAATCATTCCAGCAACAGCAGGGACCACCTTCAGCAGAGGAGCTCGTCCAGAGACAGTAAGTTGACTTTTGTCCAACGGTGCCGGAAGCTAGCAGCCGCTGGGATACAGACTTAGCTTAGCTTAGCTTACTAGCAACGTCTGTGTTGGTCAGGTACCTGAGCAGGTTTTCTTACTTTTCAGTGTCAGCATATTCATGCCAATCAAGATCTTATCAACAAATGAAATATAGATAACCCTGTAAGGTATTTAAGTTGTTCTTGTTGTCTGAAATGAGCGTGCATAGGTTAGCATCTGTTGTTAACATGGCATCACAATAGCTGTTCATGGATGCCCACGCACCCGCGAGAGGACCAGGAGGACCACTTTAAAGCTGCTCTGGGTGTCAGTTTAACTGCAAAAGAGATAAAGTGGAGTGAAAGGCATTTGGCAGGAGCTTTACTGCATGTCTCAGGTGAAAAACAAAATACATTTACAATACTATAATAACAGAACTGCAAATTGAATCATTGCAGAGACTCAGACACCAGGGAGTGATTCCTCCCTCTGCTTCCCCTCATGATTAAAAGTTGATTTACACATTCTGCAGAAATGGACTGGTTTTATGTTCCACTGCTCTGTTATTTTATATGTCTGTGTGTACATCAATGAGTCTGAAATTGTGCACTTCCGAAGTTGTGGCTTAAACATGAAGAGCCTTCATTCATTTACTTACAGAACTTATATTCCTTTCTGGTCTTGACTGTGTAATGTCTCCAATTCATTCTCAAATGCCAGTAAAGTGCACATTTAGCGTTCCATTGATTTTTTTTTTCTGTCAATGCAAAAGCAAAAGTTTTTCAGTTCTGATTTGTAAATCCATCGAATTACTTCTGACGTTGATGATCAAACGAAATAAGTCTCTAAACTCAGGCTCTTTGTTTAACTCTCCATCTGTTTTTCACTTTCGTCTTGATACATCCACAGAAAAAAGGAGCAGGCTACAACGAAGAAGGACAGGGTGACCCACTGCTTGACGATATGTGAAAATATTGTGGCCCAGTCTCTGAGGTGGGATTTTATAATTAAAATTTTAAAAGTTTTTCAGG